GGGCGGGGGGGCCGGCGGGGAGACGGGGCGGCTCGGGGCCCGCTGCTTGCGGGCCGGGGCCTGAGCGCCGCTCGCGGCCTCTCTCCTCCGGCAGCCACCATTACTTCAAGTACTGCAAGATCTCGGCGCTGGCGCTGCTCAAGATGGTGATGCACGCCCGGTCGGGCGGCAACCTGGAGGTGATGGGGCTCATGCTGGGCAAGGTGGACGGCGAGACCATGATCATCATGGACAGCTTCGCCCTGCCCGTGGAGGGCACCGAGACGCGCGTCAACGCGCAGGCGGCCGCCTACGAGTACATGGCTGCCTACATCGAGAACGCCAAGCAGGTAAAAAACAAACAGCGTCTCCTCAAATGTGGCTCGCAGAGCTGTGGTGTGCCGGGAGCCTGACCCTCTTTGCATTTTCGTGTTTGTTTTCCGGCCTCAGGATAGGCCATTGGGCACTTGAGCGGGTTGTCCTTCCGTTTGGTTTCCCTTGCTCACGGGAAGTGTTTGTGTGGCTGCAGCTGGTGGCTTGTGAGTGGAGTAAGGAGCAAGTGTGCTTCTAAAGTAACTCGTTTAGTTTAGTAAGCATTTCTAAAAACAATACACAAAACCAAATGTAACTTGTGTGTAAAACAAATCCTCCAAGAGGAGAATGACATCTGTTCTTACATTCTTGCTTTTTAAAGCTTTTCTTTAACAGCTTTAAAAAAATAGCTGCTCACTCCTTATTACTGTTTTCCATAACTTAAAAAAAAAAGAAAAAACATCTTTATAAAGAAAAATATTAATGAAGGAATAAGTAAGTTCTCCAGGTTTATAATGAAAAATGTCAAATAGACTGGCTCAAGGTAGAGTTAACAACTGTGAAATGCGTATCCCCTCCTCCTCCCCATGTTCTCAGGAACCAAACTAAGCCTGAACACACAGTAAAATTCTCACATGCAGAAGAGTTGTAGAAACGGGAATCTGTTCTGTGGCTGCTCTGGAAACTATCACGGCACATCAGGTTACGTGGGATAGAGCTGGGCACTCCTATCTTATGAATAAGCTACCTGTGAATCCTATAAATCATCCCAACTAACCAGGCTCAAATAGTTGTAGGCCCTGCATACCCCAATTTTCTTTCATCATGAATTATTTTAAATGATAAAACTTAAGAGATGTCTTCCCTTTGCTCCTTTATATTCAGTTAAATATTTGCAAGTAAATGAGAATCAAATTATATCAGGAGATCAGAAAAGAATACGCATAATTCAGAGTTGGGTATGTTTCAAGCCATATATACACGTGTGTGTGTGTGTGTGGACAAAACGACAAGCTCACAGTTGCATGTTGCACAGTTGCATGCCTGTCAATAAGGGGTTACTGAATCAGGATCACTATGAATCTAGATGTAACAGGTGTTCAGTCTGTGTTTTGTTTTGTTTCTTCCAGAGTTTGTAGATATATCCAGGGCAATATTTGGAAACGTATATTGGTATTTTTTATACATATTTATACAGTTTAACTTTGGTCTTCATAGGATTCTTTTGCAATGAGTTCTGTCATTTTGCTGTTCAAAAGTATGCATCTTTTCACCATTTTTAAAACTACTAGTGAACTCACAATATGCTTCTGAAGCATGATATTTTAGTAAATAATGAACATTTTCTACAGACATACCTGTGTGTGATAAGAGATTTTGATACTTACATCATATTTTTCGTAAGAATTTTTTTCTTCCCTGCTGCACAGTCCCAGCTTACATGTCATCTCACCATGAGGAATCTGTTCTGTACTTAAGTCATCATTGGAAAAATGGCTCCTTAGAGTTGAATTTCTTTGTTTTGTGCTGGTAACTGTAGTAGTAGTAGCTAGTAACAGAGAATGCTAATACAGATTATACGCTTTCTGGAAAATAATTCTGCAAAATTGCAAAATAAATTGCACATTTAGTGCTTAGGCTATTTTTGTATTATCTTGTTACCATGTGGTAGTGTGCTAGAAGGCCCAACAGAGGGCAGCTGTTGCCTGCAGGATGGAGGAATTCAACCCTGGATTTCTGTTCTTTCCCTCCTCCTAGGTTGGCCGCCTGGAAAACGCCATTGGCTGGTATCACAGCCACCCTGGCTACGGTTGCTGGCTCTCTGGTATTGATGTCAGCACTCAGATGCTTAACCAGCAGTTTCAAGAACCCTTTGTAGCAGTGGTTGTAAGTACTGGCTGATAGTTACTCACTCAGTAAGGTGATAAAAGTGAGGAGCAAATTATGTTGAGGAAGGAATTAGTTTCAGATTTTTGGTAGATAGTGTTTGGTAGTACACAGACTGCATAATGGAAGTGTTAGCTCCAAATCTTAAACTGGCATCACTCCTTTTGCTTTTTTGGCCGCACACTGGTCAAAACAGTAGTGGTTGTTACCTGAGGGCACTTTCACTGCATCCATCAAGATGTTATAGGTCTGCTGAAATGTGTATGCTGTTTATATCTTAAACTTCTGCTGAAACTTTTCCCCAAAAATGTATTAAACAATCCACATTCATCTTTCTGCAATAGATGAAAAATTCTGGATTTCTTTTTGTTTGATTTTTGTTCTATTAGTTGTCTTTTCTGTTTAAGAGAGTTAAGCCAAGATAAAATGCATTCCAAGCGAAATCATTGACATAGTATGAATAGATGTTAAAAAAGTTATTTTTGAAGAAAACATCTTCTGAAAAACGTGATGGACCTTTCCTTGTCTTCCAGGCTTAAGATCACATTTTAAATCAAAAGATAACCTTTTTAAAAACTGTTGGTGTAACCTTTACTATTGAAGGACATAAAAAAGGAAAAAAGAAGATGGAAATCAGAGAAAAGGAATATAGCTCTGATCATAAAGTTATGTTAGGAAAGGATAAATCAGTCTTAGGAAGTGTTCCTTAGTGTGTGAGTTATCCTATATTATGATGTTATTTCATGAATTCAGAATGCTCAAATGCTGAACCTTTTTAAGTAATTGGTTTTTTTTTAATTTTCAAAATTAAACTGTGTGTTAGTAAACGTTATCAAGGAGAGTTCTGCACTGAACATTAAGTGGATTGCAAACTTCTACATACAAAAATAGCCACTGCAGATGAGAAAAATGCAGATTTTTATTATGGTTTGTTGATTATTCCAAGTGCAGCTTCTTCAAAGTGTTTGCAAAACAGGGGAAATGAGCATGAATAACAGTCCATAGAAAACTCTTAATATTCCCATCTTTTTACAAACAATCTTTTACCAGTAGATGCCAGTTGAAAAACCACTGCTTATGACAAAAGTAATTTAATGTGCAGGAATTCTGTTTTTGAAAAACAATTACTGTAAAGCTAACTTATAATAATTCATAAAAATATATAAAACAAACATGACTTGTATTTTTACAGATTGATCCAACACGAACAATATCTGCCGGAAAAGTAAATCTTGGAGCATTTAGAACATATCCTAAGGTAACGAGTTAACTAGTTGAAATTACCTCCTGAAACATCATTAAACTGTTTCTAACTGATTGATTAGTTCCTGTCTCTCAGGACTCCTGCAGTTTGATTATTTGACAATTTGACCTGCTTTGCTATACTGTATGTTATTGTTAATCATAGAAGATATGCTGACATACCAGTTATTGTGTATCTTTGTATATCAATTACATTTAGAAAGGTTGACTTCTGGTTATTTTGCATAGAAAATTGACAGCATTAAATCAAATAGACTGTCTAGATATTGGAGCTATCAATGTAGCAGCTTTTCATGGATGTAGTTCTCAGGAATATTTATGAAAACAGGTTCATGTTAATTCCTTTCTGTCTTTTTTTAGACTTAAAATTAAGTTCAGTGGTGTTTTGTACAGTTTATTTGAAAAAGGCAGGATTCAAAATCTCTTTTAAATAAGTAATATGGGGTTTTTGTATAAATAATGTACAAAAAATAGAGAATTAATCAATATGGAAAAGGCTAAAAACTGTGAAATGATGCAAATATAAATATAAGACTACATTTGCATGTTTCTGACAGAAATATGCGTATGTTATTTAAGTCTGATCTAATAAAGTTCAGGTATATTCCTCAGGCTTGCAGTTACTGACTCATCAAAAATTTCAATCTGACATCCAAGCAAAACTGTAATTAACAAAATTGCTTGTGAGAAAGACACTTGAATGCATTTGGGAATTTGTATTGCAAATACACAAGAGATCATCTTAGAACATTTTCTGATTCGAAGGAATATTCACTGCTATAGGCAAAATTACCTTACAGATACTTTCAAAATCTGGTCAGGGAGAAGAACCCTGACCTGGAAAAGCAAACCCTATTTAGAATGTGCATACAGGGATGTTTTTAGGGAGTCTTTTTTGTCATTTGCTGACGTGCTTGTTAACTTGGGAGCTACGAAGGGTACCATCTTGGCTGAGCTAGGGACCAAAATATCTGACTGAAGGTGTTCACAAGACATAGTCAAGGGCAGGTGTTTCTTCTTATGCTTTCTGTCTTCCCCCAAAAGAGAATTGACATCCGTTCTAAGAACATATTCTTGTGTTTGTGCTTGGTCATTCCTTGATCTTAGAAATGATCTAATCATAATTGGTCATCTTTCCTGTTTAAAATAACTGAACTGTGACTGCCAGTTTCCTTCCAACATACTGTAACTGTAATGACTGACTGTTAGTAAAGCCAAATGTAAATCTGCAATCCAAAAAAATTCCAAATTCCAGACTACTGGAAAAAAAAATCCTTCAGAAAACAGCTGTCTGGAGTTTGTTGTTGTTGTTGTATTTTGGGTTTTTTTTGTGTGTGTGCATGTGTGAAGAACTTGTAAAGAACTGAGGTTTTAAAAAAAATTCCAAACTTACTGTGTTATTTTTGTGCCTTTTTTTTTTTTTAGGGTTATAAACCTCCAGATGAAGGTCCATCTGAATACCAGACTATTCCTCTTAATAAAATAGAGGACTTTGGTGTACATTGTAAACAGTAAGTAATGTTAACAATTCTGTTTTTAGCGCAGGTTCTCTTTTTTTTTAATGTTTAGCATAGTGTTTCCGCATGGACAAGTGTATTTATTGGAGTTCTCAAATCCTAAAGTTCTCTGTTGCTTTAGCACTTGGTTTTGCAGAAAAGTGTTATTTAATAACGTTAAGAAGAGAGTCTGCAGCAGGTCGAGGGAGGTGATCCTGCCCCTCTACTCAGCCCTGGTGAGGCCACATCTGGAGTTATTGTGTCCAGTTCTGGGCCCCACAGTACAAGAGGGATGTGTGGAGAGAGTCCAGCACAGGGCCGCAAGGATGATCAGGGGCCTGGAACATCTGGCCTGTGAGGAGAGACTGAGAGAGCTGAGAGAGCCTGTTCAGCCTGGAGAAGAGAAGGCTGAGAGGGGATCTAATCAGTGTCTATAGGTACCTCAAGGGAGGGAGTGCAGAGGATGGTGCTGGCCTCTTTTCACTGGTGGTCACTGACAGAACTAGAGAAAACAGCCGGAAACTGAAGCATCAAAAGTTCCACAGGAACTTAAGGAAAAATTTCTTAGCAGTGAGGGTGACAGAGCCCTGGAACAGGCTGCCCGGAGAGGTTGTGGAGTCTCCTTCTCTGGAGATCTTCCAAACCCGCTTGGACGCAGCCCTGTGCCACGTGCTCTAGGTGACCCTGCGTGTGCAGAGGGGTTGGACTAGATGACCTCTAGAGGTCCCCTCCAACCTTAAGCATTGTATGAGTCTATGATTCTATGAACTGTAATTTATCAGAAAGTATTTTAATGGAGAACCACTTTAATGACAAAGGCGAATGTGGGCAAAAACTTCAGCAGTTTTTGAATGACTTTTAGTGGAGGTGCTGTCTTAAGGCAGAGAGGAAAGGGTCAGCTGCAGCTTTAGCAGTGGGGCGAGAAGGACTGGAGAAGTGTGGATTACTTAAACCTGTATTAAAGCTATATATTCATTAAGTAGGGAAAAGATTGTTAGAATTGGAACTGCTGGTAACTTTATTGTTCTGTGCCTTGAATTACTGAAGATATTTCCCTTCGGTGAGTATTTTTTAAACACATGTAATTTGGCTGCTCCCATCCAAAAAAAAAAAGATGCATTTAATTGTAAGCTAATTTTGTTTGCATATTTGCTTTTAAAGGTATTATGCTTTAGAGGTCTCTTACTTCAAATCATCTTTGGATCGTAAATTGCTTGAGCTTTTGTGGAACAAATACTGGGTGAACACACTGAGTTCTTCTAGTTTACTTACTGTAAGTACCATAATGTGCCTGTTTAAATCATTTGTGCTAAAAGCCAGAGATTCTAACGTAAAATGCTTAACAGGGGCAATAGGTAATATAGCTGCCATGTGAAAAATCTACATGTCAGGTTTGAACAATAAAGGATTGCTATTCTAACCAGAAATGCTTGAATATTCCTCATATCTGCCCCTACAGCTAGAAGGCTGGGATAATTTCTTCTGTATAATTTTATCCAGTTACGTATAATTTTGTCACTTTCTTAAATACCTCTCTATATTGTAGACTTCTGCAGTGCTATAATGACAGTATCCCTTAAAATAATGGCATTGAAAAAGTAAATGATTATTATTTTTTAAATGGAACTGTTAAAATGAGGTTGCAACAGATATACTACAGTTAGACCTCCGAAGTATCAACTAAGCATCAAAATTGTTCTTATGCGAAAGTCCATTTTGCATCTTTTCTCTTAGTCAGAAACAACTGGCTTTCACTTGCTCGCTCTTAGTTGCATTGCTTAGGGTGTTAAGTAGAGGGTGGTAAAGAGCACCTATGTCAGGACTGGAGTATTTCTTAACTCTTCAAGTTCTGTTCTCAGGCACTCCCAGAAATGAGTTAGGCTTAGCTACCACTTTAATGTTCAGTGGTACTTAAACTGCAGTTATAGGTTAAAGTTTCCAGTACCCCGAACTTTTCAGAGTTTTTTGAGTGTCATTTGGTATTTGTGTGTACAAGTAATAATAATATGAATTTATATCTCAGAATTCAACATGTTTATTGCTTTCTTTCTTGTAAGAATGCTGATTATACCACTGGCCAAGTCTTTGATTTGTCTGAAAAATTAGAACAGTCAGAAGCTCAGCTGGGACGAGGCAGTTTCATGTTGGGTTTAGAGACTCACGATAAGAAATCGGAAGACAAACTTGCTAAAGCAACAAGAGATAGGTAAGATAAATAATGTGCACTTGTATTCTTTGTGGTAAAAAATGTTGTTACCTTTAAAATAATATTTTCAAGGCTGCAATTGTAACCTACTGATTTTAACCTACCAAGAGTACAGATAGAAACAAGAGACTCAAAATGATAACTGTATCCTACAGAAGTTGGACAGTATCTTTGCCTTAATGCTTTATTTGACAACTTCCATTTGGCAAATCCCAGGCTCTGAAAACCAGGAAGTACTGCACTAAAATATATCCTATTGCAGTCTCAGGCCCTTATGTGGAGAAGACAGCGCTACATGCATGCATTTTAGGAGTATTCAGAATGAGATACAAATCCATTCAGTAAGGAACTGTACTAGAATTTAAAATCAGTTGGAATAGATTGTGAATGTTCAGTTAGATCTGAGATATTCTGCTTTTCAGATTTGAAGATTTCTGGACCTCTTCCTCATCCTTTAATCCTGATAATTGGAACAGATCTCTCATATTTGTTCAGTTTTTATCTTGTATTGGCAATACGTACAACAAAACAAACTTTACTAATGACCAGGGTTTGATTTTTGAGGTACCAAATGAGTGATGAGTTTAGTGACAGGTAAAAGCATAGATTAAAAGACACCTTTTGCAGGAAGATACATATATTTTTTTTTAAAATATATGACTTTACATGTACAGTAGGCAAGTATAGGAAGTACTTCCTCAGTACGACTTAGCTGAACACATACATAAAGAGCAGGGGTCAGGAATTTTCTGTGTTAAATAAGCCTTTTGTTCCCCAGTAAGCTGTGGTGCATACATTGTGGGGATACATGCAAGTGTAATGTGGTCATTGCTAAACAGAATCAGAATTGTGCTAGCATGATCTGTGTTTTTGATTCCCTGTTCTGAAATACTAATAGCTTTTGTAGTTTTTGTTTGTTTGTTTTTAACAAACATGGTAGAGTTGGTTTGAAGGTTATTTTGAGAGGGGTAATAAAAGTTAAAACCCATTGAGTCTTCTTAAGTTACCTCCATTGCAAATGCTCTCTGTAATGCTATTACTAATCACTGTAACTGACACCTCCCCATTTCTAAAATGCTCTTTGTTCCTCTCGTAGTGAAATGTTCACAAGAGCAGTGCTCTTGCTACAAGGATGAAGTTGCCAACAGATTTTGCCTTTGATTTCAATCCCTGTCTGGTGTTGCAGAACATTGACAGCACTTTAGTTTCATGTTCCTCTCATGTGCTTGCAGTTATTCTAAGACATGAAATGTCTACCTTTTCTGATCATCCCACTCTGCTCTTTCCTGCAGTGTTTCTAGAGATCGATCTTTTCTGGTTTTATACAGACATTGTTAGTACTTGAGTTACAATTTATAAAACAAAAAAGGTGGTGAATGTCACCGGTTCTTCTTTCCTGGGTAACACAGGATAGTGTTCTTCCTGGAATTCGGACATTGGGTGTCACTGTTCAAAAAGTCTCCAGAAGGGGACTGTGCTCTTCTGTAATGTGATTACATTTCATACATGTGTGCATCTGTGGGTGTGTCTGCTTCCATGAAACAGTGGTTTACAGAACCGCTGACACACTTCTATGGATGTCTATTTTTCTTAAATAATAAGATTTAGATAAGATAAGATAAGAAAGAAAAATAGCAGCCACTAGAAAGAAAAAGAACAGCCACTAGTAGACAGATGCAGTAGTTAATTTATTGATGCATTTTCTAACAAATTGATTCAGCAATACCTGAATTATCCTTAAAAAATAAGATTACTAAGAGGTTCCTGAGGGATGAGTAATTTTCTGGTTGGGTGTACCTGTTTTAGGAGAAAGGAAAATAAATAAAAAAATAAAACCCACAGCTTATAGGGTATTAGGTTACTTAAACATAACATCTTCTGTTCTAATGTTCCAGCTAGGTAACACCTTCTGTTCCGATGTGTGTATCCATGTCACGGAGAGCAGCTACCCAGGAGTCCCGTTTGCATTAGTGGACCTGTGCTCTAAGCTGGCCTCCTTCCCTGCTTAGGAATCCTGGATTTGTCCTGGGGCAGTTTTTCCCTATTTTTCTTGCTTGCAGGGCTGGGTCCCTTTCCTGTCTGTGTATTCCAGCTTTGAGGCGTGTTGATGTGCTAGTTTGACACCACGTCCCCATAAGCCAGGCACACTGAATACAAACCAGGTCAATGGGAATCTTCTCAGCTGTTCTTTTTACCCATACTTACTGCACATATTTTCACTGGTACCTGATTGGGCCTATAAACCCACTGCCCTCTGTGCAGCTCTCGGGGGAGCTCTGGTTGCCGTGCCCTAGGTACCTGGTGTTGGGCAAAGGAAGGTTGGTAGCTCCCTTGGGCTGGAAGTTGGGCAATCTTTCCTTCAGTGACCACAACGCTTGCTTTCTGTTGTGACCTAAGCTGCTAGGCAAGGAGCTTTTCTGAAGTTGGTTGTTGTATGCACAGCACTTGTCAGTTTGTTTTTTAAGTAACAAAATGTTATTGGCAACAATGGCTAAATTCCTGTGTGCGACTTTTTGTTTCTAGACAGTTGGGAAGATTCATGGGGTTATGGGCACCCTGAACTTCCAAAACAGCTGAATGTCTTCAGTTGCAATGACAGCTTAGTTCAGTGTTTAGCCAACATTGAATTTATGCTTGTTTTTCAGCTGCAAGACCACCATAGAAGCTATACATGGATTGATGTCTCAGGTTATTAAGGATAAACTTTTTAATCAAATTAATATAGCTTGAAATGCATCACCAGCTGATACGCATCTCCACAGCAGAAAAATTCATGGTTTCTTTCCTTTGGACTTCTTCAATTTGGGAAATGAAGCCTCAAGTGGAAAATTATTCGTATAATTTGTAGTACTTTAATATTTCCCACCTGTTCGACCAGTTTTAAAGAACAAAATGGTCTGAAATGTAATGTTTTGTTCTTTGTCATAAAACACAACCCACGTGGAGAATTGTTCCAGAAGAAAAATAAATATGACTTACTAGTTTTTGCTCTTAGATATTTATCTCTACTATCTGTCTGCAATAAAATAAATAAATAAAAAGGAGCGAGTGTTTTGGGGGTTGGATTTTGTGGCAAACATTTGTCTGCTGTCACTCATTTTCTTACTGTTCCATAGAAAAGTTTTGTTCAGGCAGTTTAGGTATTCTGTGCACAGTATAAGAAATTTATTTCTCAGATTTTCATATCTCCATTTAAAGAATTGAAATCCCGTTATCCTAATCTTTAAGAAGTTCCTACATGAAATGGAGCCATTAGAAGTTTACTTTTAGTGTCCCAGAGGACCGGTTCTCACCCTGAGAACTGAGCACATGAGCATTCAGGCACAGTACAGCAGTATTTTGATGATGAACAATTATGATGAACATTTAATATTTTTATGTAGTCAAATAACTGTTCCACAGTGAAATTGTGAAACTAATAAGAAGTTTATATGAATTTTTTTTTCCTGCTCACCTTCTATTGCCATTCATACTCACTTGTCGCACGCAAAGGAAGGAAGTGGAAAATTAATATCTCTGCAATGCAAGTTAGCTGAAAATAGATAATAAAATGCATTAATCACAATTGTTGGCTTATAGTGTGGTGCTGCTGCGGGGCTGAGTTAAATCTGTTGTGGAGACTGTGCTGCATTTCAATAATTCAGTGTGTTTGGATTTCTTCTAAGTTTTTATTCTTAAGTCTGAGTTTCCTGGTTTTTGGAATGTTTACTTTGGGGGTCATTTATAACATGCTTTATACAATATGCCATTATGCTTTATACACTAAGTAACTGATGTATCCTTTCAGCCTTAACTTTGCCTTGATGTGGGTTCTGTTTTTGTTTTGGTCTGGAAATTTTAATAGCTATTACTCATTTGGTGCTTTTCATCCAGCTAGATCCCAGTGTATTTGAAGCTCGTATGCAAGTTAGAGGGTGGAATGTGTCATTCAGCAAGGAAATGCAGACACCCTGGAGCACAAATATGTCAATATTTTTAAAGCAGCAGCATCCAATAGATAGGGAAAATGCATTTAACTGGATCTAGTGAAGTTTAGACTTGAGGAAGTTTAAGTAGAATGTAATATATCAGTTTTGAAGTTTGATAGAACAACAGTTTTATGCTTCCTTACTTTCTTCTAAAGGAGTTTGTGAGACTTTAAATATTAGTGGCTTTAAGTATTGGCACACAGCCATTGTTCCCCTGCACACACTTATACAGAACAACCATTTAACTTTGAGAAATGCACAGCTTTTATGAGATAAATATGTATCTGGAAATAGAACCTGAGTTGCCACCTCTTTGTGTTCCATTTGCATGACATGATCCAAAATGTTTGGCCATTTAGGTATCTAACTGAAATATTAACAGATTAATTTAAATTATGTGTTTATCTACTCAGCACATGTAAGCTGTTCTTATCTGTGATCGCAATGGACTGAAACGGCAGGCACTGGCTGTTGTTTTTAGGCACAGTTGGCTTTAAAATGTCAAAATGCTTTATCAACCACAGCGATGTGAATTTGCCTGAATACTGATGTAGACAGTTAGCCATTAAGTTACTTGTGTTACAACTTACCGAGCACATAGCCTTATAAATACATTTAAAATTGTGTGTGTAGTTTGGCTACCTGTGTGCCTTGTACTGGATACGTATCCATCTTGCAGCGTTCCGGAGCTGGAATAACCGTGTCCTTGGTCTTGATCAACCATTTTTAATGTTAGGACTGTTCCAAATTCTGCCTTTCCCGAGCTTCAAATTAACGTTTATTGAAGACGGTCGCCACAAAGGACTCGTCTCTCTCAGAGGAATAGAGAGGAGCATATTCTGAACAGCGGATTCATTAAGTCATAGAAAAGGCATCATATTTCCACCAAATAGTGCGGAAACTTGAAAAAAAAAGAATAAATGTGTTCGTGGCAATGAAATGTTGTCTGTCAACTCTATAGAAATAGGTGAATTCAGTCTTCTGCATTTGCACTCATTCTCCATTTATTTAGAGTTTAGTAGTTTATATAAATGAGTGCCATGACTCAGGTAAGTATTTTGACAGCCAAAGTCAGTCAGTACATGGTAAATCATATGCAAATATTTATGTTCATTTTGAGACAAACATGCACACAAAAATTCCAAGTGTCAAATCACATTCAATCACTACAGTTAATTTCTTCATCTAACAGTATTTGCAATGGATACTACCATTATGCAGTACTGAAAATAATGTTGCACTTCCTCCCTCTTCTATCTTTCTACTCTTTTTTTTTTTTCCCTCATCCCTCCGAGTTGTTCTGTCTGCTCCCCCTTCTGATCTATGCTTATCGCAACACAGAAGAATTTATACAATTTAATCTCAAATGAAATTCTATAGGAAAATGAATTTTTTTATTTGTAACAGTCAATGCCACAGACTAAGATGTAATTTCTGATAGAGTACTAATTTGGCCTTAGTATGCAGCTAAAAAGGAGCCTTTCAGATTTACTGTGTTTATAGTGGGGTGGTCAAAGCTGTGTCCGAGTCCTGTCAAACCTGCTTTGAAGCTCCCTTCAAACAGGAGGTATGAAGGGACACCAGGGCCTGGCCTCCTCCTGCTCCCCTTTTATTCTCTCTACTAGGGACTTCAGTGGGGACATCCCTGGCTGCACCTCTTAGTATCATTCCTGAATGGGTATGTTCTCCTTGACTGTGTTTAACCTCTTTTTTAAGGTTAACCTCCTACAGCACCAGTTTCTAGGCATTTGCCAGCAGCCCTCAATAAAGTAACTTCCATTGGTTTATTGGGTTGGCACTGAAGGTTGGGTTGATGAGACCTGTCCGGAATTTGAGAGCTCCGTCCAGGAAAATTTAAGAAGTGCTTCCCTTACACTGGGTAGTTAAACTCTGGAAAGCATTGTGTGGGCACAGTTTGGATTTTGCCGAGGTGTATGGTATTTACTTTACGTGTATCTACCTTGAAGCTCCTTTACCACGTTTTTGCCCATGTCGCTTTGTGAGATCATTTTGGAGCTCCTCCCCATCAGGACAGTATTTGAAGACCCAAGTGACCGAGCTGCAAACCCAGCCATATTTAGCTATCTTCAACTCCAATAACAGAGGTTATTGTCAGAGGTTTTGTGGCCAACATGCTCGTTCTGGAGAAGAGTTTACTGCACCGCTATCGATGATGTTTTATAACACATTGACTTACGTTTGGACAGGAAGACAAATGCAGAACATTGTGCAGTATAATAAAGTGTAAGCACGGATTTTTATAATCCAGTACCGTGCCTAGACATCGTTGTATTGTATGGAATATCTGAGCTGCCTGATTACATAAGCAGGAATACTCTTCTACTTTTATTTCTCACATTTCCTGTGCATCCAAGATAACTTGAGTAAATTTTGCCTTGGAGTCCACGGAAACAATGGGATTATCTACTCAGTAGGTTTATTCATCATCATTCAGTAAAATGATTTAAGCTGGTTACATATACTTAATCAATGTTTGGGTAGTGCTTACCAAAACTGTAAAAACATAATTACATGATTAGGCTATTAGGGCTATTTTTTTCCAAGTAGTTCTGCAGTCAGCAGCCCCACATTGGGCCAGGAAGCAGACAGATTTTTAAGAACTCAGCATTTCCGTGTGGGAAAAACGGGAGTTTGTAGATATTGAGTGTTTCTAGTCTCTTATCTTAGACATCTATTGGAGCCTGAGCTTTCCTGAAGGATTAGTCCTAACTAGTTTTAAGTAATAATCTCCATACACTGAAGAAATGAAAGTTATAGAAAAGTGTTTTACCCCATAATGTCCTTGTTCAGAGCCCTGTTTTCGTAAGGGGCTTTCTGCATTCATGGCCTTTAGAGGTGGCTTGTGTCACCTTTCTCACAATAGTTGGAGCGAATGAGCTTTTTTAAACTTTCTTTTTAAAATAGAGAGATAAAGGAGAACTTCCCTGTATTTCTATCACCTGTCTTTACAAAAGTTTGTGCCTCTTTCTGGATATTCGTTTTTACCTCAACCTGCTTCACATTTCATAATGTTTCAGTTACTAGGTCAATATGAACTAAAATGCAAAATCTTTTGGAAACAGTTCACAAAAAAAGAAAAAGAGCAGAAAAAGGTTTTTTCCATGATTACTGTAACCAGGTTCCTCCTGATCAGCTGCAAGGTAATAGGGCAGGGCTGAGTTGGGAGGTTCCTAGGGCTCCTTGAGGCACTGCATGTACACAACTACATTTGCAAACAAAATACAGTTATTAAAAAGGTGCAAATCCAAGATTCTTGAAGGAGATAGAAAGGTAGTTGCTGGTGTTAGTATCTTATTTATAAAGTTAAATATAATCAAACATTTATTAACCTATTTCTTCTCTCTGTTTTCACAGTTTTGTAATTAATTTTAGGTCAGTGCTTGAAAGGTGGTATGTTGCTTTCTCTTTGATAAGCATATTATTATTTTACGTCTTTTATTGCTGTACCAAGCAGTACTAGGCAGAATTAAACTACATCATACAAATTCTGCTGCATTGTACCATAAACTATGTTAAAATAATAAAAACAAATACCTTCAAATAGCTATGATTAGAAAAAAAAATGTGTAATTATAGAGTTGAGTTAACATCATTTGAGGGTACAAGCGCTTAAGAGGTGAGAATGACTAAAAAATGGAGTGATAATATGTAAGATTAATTGCACGCATATAGAATTTTTTTTTAAATTATGCAAGTCTCGAAGAAAGACATCAGAGCGTCTCCGGTTAGTTTAAGTGTTGTGGAGATTTTTCTGTACTTAAATATGCTAAACCTTTAAGGAATTAATAAAGTGTTTTGTTCCTCAGGGTATATTTATTTATGAGCAAGAGTTGTACTTTTCAGAGCCTAAAAATAAGACCCGGGGGAAATATGCAATTTAGAAAAGTAGATTTTAGCCCTCAGATGTAACTGCTAACATATGAAATATTTGCTGTGACATTTGGTTTGTTTTTAGGTATGAAAAATTGCTCCATACAGGCCTTTCTGAAAACTGCAGTGTCCTGGGAGGTAGCGTGGCCCAGCGGATAGGTCACAGCACCGGCCTCACGGG